GCTTCTAATAGGAGCTTTAATTGGCTTAGTGGGACTAATATGACAACTATTCAGGTCGTTTTGAGGGTACATATGCTTATACTGTTTGTGTTCTTCTGCTATCAGACAACCACAAGAAACTACCCAGGTTGCTTGATCATGGGTTGATTCATGGACAGAAAGGGTTGAGGCAAAACCCATCATGGAACACAATTAGAAGACAAGAGAGGGGAGACGAGAAGCAGAAAGGGTAAGACTTTGGCAAACACAATGGAGATAACTATTTCAAATGCTGGATTAGAAGAATTTAAGCACCGAATTTATTAGGTTCTCAAGTTCTCTGTCAAAAGAAGCAACAATGTTTTTGAAGGACTTGGCTCAGTCTTTCATGAAGTGCAATCAAGTCAGCCAAGTCCTGAACCTCTCTCTAGCCTTTCAATATAAAGGACTTGAAGTCATGTAGTAGGCTGACTATTGCCGTATGGCGAAGGGTTTTTTTTTTTTTTTTTTTTTGCAGAAATTGGGAGAATTTCTCTCCCTATCCATTCTGCAGAGGAGAAATCAGCCTGAAATTGGAAGGAAAGGGAGCAAAATAGAGAGAAAAATCAGTGAAAAGGGTTTCCCACCACTAGCCTTGATCTTGAAACCCAATGAAGTGGGGAGATCCAAGATGATCATATCTGGCCATGGCAGAACAAGCAGGAAGGAGTGGTGTCCTGGGGTATGCTGGATGTCAAAAGAAGCTATGGAACAGAGGGTGAGAGTAAGAGTGCGAGATGGTGTAGAGGAGCAGTAAAGAGGGGCATCACAGACATCAAATCTAGCATTTAGGCCTCATTGGAACTCCTACAGCATTTGGGATTGCCATGTTTTGTTTCACGGTCCATTTCGCACAGAGAATCCAGATCTGATTTTATAAATAGGTGAGTTTTTTACCTCTCTGTAAGTGGTGTTCCTTTGTGTGTTGGGTTGTTTCATAGTTTATTCACTTGCAGAAAATTAGTTGTCTTTTTTGCTTTGCAGTTTGAATTGAATACAAAATGATGCTTATTCTTTTTCTTCATTTCAGTATCTATATGGTTCTTCTCAGGAATGGTAAGTTTCTTTCCACCTTTCTGATTGGTGTCTACACCTAATGGATTGTTTGAAGTTCTGTAGTAGCAAAGCATGATGGGATGGGATTCTAAAGCATTGTTGCTGAGAAGAATGGAGTTACTTTCTGCTTGTTTTTTGACATTTTTAGGGGTGTTGTTACAATTTGGGTAATGGTCTTTCTATGGAGTATTTATGCTCTTCAAAATAAAGCTTACTAATTATGCACTATGAAATCATGTTTGGATGTGTGGGAATGAATGTAATTATCAAATTCATAAAATCTAAAGGCAAAAATTCATGGGATGATTTTGGTTAGCCTACCAAAAAAAGTACTTGATACTTCTATCGCTTACCCAAAATTATTGCAGAGAGGCAATTTTGCTTACAATTAGGAGCAAAATAAAATACAAATTAGCATGATCCTGTAGTACTTAGAAGATGTAGTCATACTGGAATAAAGATTGTTTAATAATAGACCATGGTACCTCAAGCTGCTTCTCAAGTGGCTTAGGGATGGCTTTCTAGCATTTGAATATTAAGTTTCTAATCAAGCAATCTTAAGGTTTAGCTTGAGTTGTAATCCATAGTAGTTGATATAAAAACGTGCTCTCAAAACCATCTATGAAATGTTTCTGAGCAACAATCCAAGTTTCTTCGATTTCTATTGATAATTTAAATTATGTTGTGACTGTCTCTAATGTGATTACATAATCTAATGCTCTAGGATGTTAGATTTCTCGCATGTCATATATAACACATTATGCACCTGCAATATTTTCAACTCAACTAATATTCTATTTATGATCAAGAAAAGATTCTGATCTAGCAGATTCACTTTCTTGATAACCTTCTTCTTTTTCATCTACTCCAACCTTCTTTTTGTCTTTTTATATCTTCATAGGTGGCTTTACCATAACAATCAAATAATTTTAAAAAATGTTGTTTGTTAAGAATTTACATTACAACTGATTTCTCTATAATGTGCTGCAGTCTGCAGGGACTATATGGGCTGCATAGAATTTGCACTTTGCAACATGGTTTGGATATTCATTTTTTGGGGTCTTGATTTTCTGTTTGATTTTCATTTTTGAAATTAAAAAGATTTTAAAAATAGATTTCTCTTATGTTGATCATTTTTTCCAGCAGAAATGCTTACCAAGGAAAAATTTAAAGTTTATATCTAACAAATTTTTTAAAGAATTGAAACCTAAAGCTAGAACAAGAGTCATGACGAGTGGGGTTTGGACTTTCTGCAATGTGTTAATTGATTATGGGAAAGGGAATTTAATGGAAGCTAAACACTATATTTATGTTTTATAGGCATTTAACTAATTCATGTAATTTTTTTCGCTTTATCATTTGTTTTTTAACCCACATGAAGTCTTTATTTTTGTTAATGGCAGAGTTATGGCTTTAAATGAAGCACATTCTATTATGAAATTATTGGATGATACATCTATTTGAAGGAGGTACTGGTTTAAGCCAATAGATGGGGTAGGAGAATATCAATTCATTTGTGAGTCAACAAGATTTCAGAGCTTTTGCTATAGGTTTGACAAACTTCTTCCCCTGAACTATTTTGTTTATCTTCATTTTATGGTGATGGAAAATACTACCTAAGGGAATGAAGGTGTTGAATATCAACATGCAGGAAGAGAAGGCAATTCAATTTAAGTGAAAAACATTTCATTGTAGTTATAAATTTGCAACTTCCCTTTTCTTGCTAACTATTTTATACATCAATGCTAATACTTGGTATTGAAATGCAGGTTCTATAAGAATTTGATATTTTCTTTGCACATGGTCCAAGGGTGGATTGTGGAAGAGTCAAGGATACCTTAAAGCTCCAATTGCAACAAAGTGTATTCTCTTAAGAACAAAAGCTTTGTAGTGTTGTAGGTTTGTTTGCTTCTTTACTTTTCTTCAATTTGATACTTTTCCCCTCTTTTTAATATTGTTACTTTCAGTCATTTTTTACCTATTAGAATTGATGAGAGATATGAATCTTAAGGTATTTCTAAATACTATTCCAAAGCTCAAACATACCTGCATGTATGTATGAAATTTGAAATAGTAGGAATTTAATTTTTTAACATTTGTAAAATATGTAGGAGTTGAAGCTAATATTTGAGGAGCTTGCTAATATTCTTTTGGTCAACTGTAGGGACTTTGTTGGCCAATTTAAAGCTACATCAATAGGGGTATGGAAACCAACATTTATGAAAGAATAATCTTCTTGAAAGAATGCACGCAATATGCTTTTCACGTTTGTTCATTTACCTTCTATTTCCTAATGATTTGTAGGTCAACAATTCTCTTCATTAAACTTTAAATTACATCATTGTACCTAAGAATTTTATTTTTATTTTTTTTAAGTTGTGCAATCTATAATTCCTCCTTCCACTATGGTAACTTTATTGGCAAAAGAAAAAAAAAAATCCCAGTAACAAATCATCCATGGTTTCTATTTGTGAGTGTTACGACAACTTACATGGAAACAACTGCAATCTGGAAAATGTCTATATTTTTTAACCTTTCTGTATTTTGTCACTGGAAAGGTACTTCTATCTGCTTCAAACTCTTAACACTTATTCTTTTACAGGAGACTGAGTATGCAAGTTACAATCCTATTGCATATTTATAACATTATTTAAAATTAAAATCCCATTGCGTATAACTAGACTATTATTAAAGAATATTTCATCTTTGCAAATATGATGACAAAGAAGTTTCAAGGATAATTTTATGTAATAATAACATATCAAATGATTGCTTACAACTGTTCGAGTACTATAGAATTTAGGATGTAAAAGAGATGACTCAAGCTTTTGTCTTTAGTCTTTTTAGGCTTTGCCAGTATGGGAGTTTGTTATCAACTTCTTCTTTCCTTACTAAGGTTGCTTTAAAAGTTGTTAATATGGTCATTATTAAGGTAATTGACTTTAATTTTTTAAATTTTTTAAAGAACTCAAATAAGTTGTTCCAGTGAATTATCAATACCCAATTCAATGCCCCTACATAGCAAGGTGAGAGCCACTTGTTTCTTATACAGTGCTCCAGCTAAAGCTAATTAGAATTTAGAAATGACTTTGATGGGTGTTTTTAGTGGAACTTGCCAAACGTGTTCTTCGCATGCATGATCTACCTCCTTTAGTATTAGAAGCTTAAGTACTTTATTGTACAAATTATGTTTTGCTATTTCTTTTTTTTTTTTTTTCCCTTTTGTTTGGGGAGATTCTATTCCTATTAGGAGAAGACAAGCAATGCATTTGTGAAAATATGTAGGAAGAAGATAATACCACTTACTTTGGCTTTTTGTTTGTTATCCCCACTAACTCATTTTCTTACGAGGTTCTATGGAATAAACAAATTTCCATAAAAGTAGTGTCTGTTTCATTGATTTTGATGATCCTTTTTTAGTCCAAAACTTCTCATTCTTTTCTTCATCTATTTTTTTCTACTTTTTTTTTTTCTTTTTTTTCTTTTTTTACATTTTTTGTATCAGTTTGGTGAGTATGGAGGGGAGAATGATTGTCTATCAAGCTGTGCAAGCTTGTATTAAATGGAGAAGATGGAGATGGAGTTGAGAATAGCATTAGAAAAAGCATTGATAAGGTGGGGACATTGAATTATTATGGTTTAGAGATATTTAGCTTTTTTTGTTGTTTATGCCTCAAGATGTCAACTTAAAAGAAATATTACTTGCTCTTTGTTGAGGTTTGAACCTTGAATTTAATTTTATGTGCTTGTGAAATGGAAGGCGAGAGGGGTGGTAAACTGGTAATGTATTCTAACTATGTCTTTCCCTTAATATTACATAGTTTTTTATTTTTTAAAGTTTCTTTATCATGCTTCTAATACTATATATATTTTCCCCTAAAATCAATGAACATGTCAACTTTGGAGTTTTTTTAAATATTCAAATAATATCCATTTCATTTTCTAGAATGAACTTGATTTTTGAATAAAAAAAATATAGATTCCCAATTTGTTGGGTTCTTTTTCTCAAGTGTGTATCTATGTTCCAAAAGAGTGTCAGTACTCACTAGGTTATTCATATGGTGGACCAACGAGATGCTTCCTATGTTTTTAGCCTCCACAGCACCAGTATCTGCAGTTGGTGACTAAATTATATTAGTTTTTGTTTGTTACTTGGGTTTACATATATGGTGTTTTTTCTTCTTCTCATGGATTATGATAGGACTAGAAAGATTGTGAAAACTCTCTTTAACGGGTAAGTGGTGACCCCAGATTAAGATTTGTTTTTTTTTTTTGATCAGCAAAAGATAATATTATTAAGTTGGAGTACAAGGGGTACTCCTACCCGTACAAAAAGAGTAAGTAATATAATTAGGGTGATACAAACAACACTTTCATACGAAAGTTTACCCCAAAATCTACCCCAAAATATAGATCAT